ATGGTAGTGGATAGGAATGTGAGCCTCTCTGTCCACCACTGATGGTCATATTCCGTCCTGGAACCGTAACCCTTGGAAGCTTCCATACAATTCCAGATATGAATGGGAAACCAAAGTTTCCCAAGGAAAAATAAGCCAAGGACAAAAAATAAATGAACTGACAATTGTAAAACATGAACAACAAAGTGCACAACCCCACCTCCAAAGGCTCCCTCCACATTGTGTGGGTCGGTAAGTGAGAATCCTGCAGAATGAATCTTCAGGGAGGAGGATCACCAGGGAAGTAATGTCCCCTTTCTGAAGACACATCCAGGATTAAATTTGGACTGAGCAAGCCCTGCATGGTGGGTAAGTCAGGCTGTATTCATTCCTTAGTGGATTCCCTGTGGGGTTGGCCAGAAACAATGTACACCATCTCAGCCACACACCAAACATTTCCATCCACACCTCTGAATTTCAAGTTCCTCTAGTGGGCTCTCATTTCAGGGGGTGGGAGGAGATCTGTGCACAGAGGGCCTTTCCATGATTGAGACCCTGTGGGATGACTTGGCCTTAAATTAGAAATTCAGGGTCTGATCCTGTAGGATTAGAAGCTCTTCACTTTCCTGTGAGCAGTTTGCTGATATAATGCATGATCAGATAACCAAAAGTTTCCCCATATCATCTCCAGTGCCGCAAGTATGAAATATACAGGATACTAACCCTCAGGAGTGAAATCCTGGCCCTCAGTGAAGTCAATAGGAATTCTGCCATTGACTCCAACAGGTCAGAATTTCACTGCAGAGGTGTTTGCCAGAGATGTTTAAACTGAAGAAATGGGGTGTCCAAGTCTGCAAGCTCATCATCATTCACCCTCGTTTACAAAACTGCCATAACTCTTGAAAATATATATTTCACGTCTGCCTTGCTTACAAAAAATCCTTCATAGACTGCTAGAACACTGAAACATGACCAGAAGTAAGAGGCAGTGCAGCTGTTGAAGGTGAAGAATATGTTGTCAGCAAAAGAACTGCATCAGAATCTGCTTCTGAAAATAAGGCTTTGTTCTGTGATCACTGGTCTTCCAATCTGAATGGTTCCATTACGCAAGCTGCAGTGGATGACATTCTGAGGCTCTTCTCTCTCTGATCCTTCAGCCAGATGGGGACATCAAAGCTGGTCAGCAAGTTTCCTCAGTCCCACCAGTCCTGCTGACAAACTGGGCTGGCCTATGATTTGCCAGATGAGCATGGGGCTATAGGACTGCCAATATAACGGTCACCAAAGCTCTCACTTGTGTTGCTTGTATTTAAGGCTAGCTCACTGTGTCTTTGTGTATAACACTGAGCATCCAAGAGGCTTGGGGTAGGAAGAGAATGACTATATACAAAAGTTGAATCAGAAAAATAACTAATGTTATAGTTATATGTTATAATGTGAATGGCATTTATGCAGTGTGGAGGCACAGACCCTGTGGAGAGTTTGATGTGGTCAGAGTGTGGCAGATGGGAGGGAAGGGAAGGCGTGCATAGATATGACATAGTGTTGCCAAGATGGCATTGTGAAAACCACGTTAGTAGTACCAAAGGTTGTTTTCTCGCTCTTTTTAGTTTTTCAATTAATTTTTATGAGTAAACGGATCAGGAATAAAATAATATTTAAACTTTGTTTATAATTGAAAATCAGTGTGCTGGAAAGCAACACATCTAAGAAGGAAATGGCAATTTTACTGTTAAACAGAATTCTATCAGTTTAACAAAAACAAAAACAGTACCTCTTCCAAATCTAATTAAGAGGCCTGCTCTCCTTGAACATAATGAGTAACATTCTATTTTAAGGACTCAGTGGAAAGTTCTAAAGAGACCTTGAGAGTTTGCTAGTAGAAAACATTAATCATACAGTTGAAGGAAGACCTAATAAAAGGCATGCTGTATGGGAGTTACAAACACATGTGAAATCAAATCTCAAGCCTTCATTTTGCGATAAGACAATTTGTATTCTAAAAATAACATGTACTTCACTAGCTAGTATCATTTACGCCATAGGCATGTTAGGAAAGGAGGATCTCATATCCAAGACCACTGAAATTAATACATGGACTCAGAATTAAGGTAAAGAATAAGTTGTGGCTGTCTATATAGAACTTACTAAACACTTCTAAAATGTCCTGTTCTAGCATATTCAGGGGTTTGTTTATGACCTGCAAGGGACTCTTCGGAGATGGTATCTACTCTGATTGTCTGAAAGTTTGGGTCTGGGACACAGATGGGAACTTTTATCTAACTCCTCTATCATCCTTTACTCTTGGTTTCATGCCTATGCTGCCCTTTATGCCTGGAGCATACATATTGTCCCCATCCACCAAACTCCCCAGTCTTTCTTACTCTTCTAAATCTTCCTTAAAATCCACCTTTTCACATCATTGTTCTTCCATTCTACTCATTATCATACTCTCACTCTCCTTCTGCTGAGCTGTTGTCCTGGGTCTTACATTTTCTTTGTCCTATTTAGACTATTTTTTTTTCAGGAGATGGAATGCAATTTATCTAGATTTGCAAAATACCCTGTAAATTAAATGTTACACAAATGTTTTTAATAATAATAATGTGAATTTTACACAGAGAACGATCACAGTCTAGTCTGTTGCTTATCCATCTTCGTGCCAGAGTGAGGGAACTAGGGGTCGTTTTAAGCCTTTTGGGGTTTCTTCTGAAGGAAATAAAGTCCACTAGAACTTTAAATCACCAGTGTATTTCCACCTTCCAAACCTCCTATCATAAATATAAAGGGAAGGGTAACAACCTTCCCGTATACAGTACTATAAAATCCCTCCTGGCCAGAGGCACAAAATCCTTTTACCTGTAAAGGGTTAAAAAGTTCAGGTAACCTGGCTGGCACCTGACCAAAAGGACCAATAAGGGGACAAGATACTTTCAAATCTGGGGGGTGGGGGTGGGGATAGGTTTTTGTCTGTTCAGTGTGCTTGCCAGACACAGATCAAGAAAGCAAGCAGTCCAACTCCATTAGAATTAGTAAGTACTAGCAAGGGAATGTGTTAGCTTATTTTTGTTTTGGCTTGTGATTTTCTCTGTGCTGAGAGGAAGGTGTATTCCTGGTTTTCTTTTTGTAACTTTAAAGTTTGGCCCAGAGGTAAATCCTCTGTGTTTTTGAATCTGATTGCCCTGTAGATTATCTTCCATTCTAATTTTACAGAGGTGCTTCTTTTACCTTTTTTCTTCCTAATAAAGTTCTGTTTCTTTTAGAATCTGATTGGGTTTTTTTTTTTTTTAGTGTCCAAAAAAAAACCCAAGGTTGTTCTGTGCTCATCTTGTTTATTCTTAAGCCTCCCCAGGAAAGAGGTTTTGGGGGGTTGGGGGGATATTAAGGGGGGAGTAGGAACTCTAAGTGGTCCTTTCCCTGATTCTTTGTTAAATCACTTGGTGGTGGCAGCATACCCTCCAAGGGCAAAGAATTTGTGCCTTGGGGAAGTTTTAACTTAAGCTGGTAGAAATAAGCTTAGGGGGGTCTTTCATGCCAGTCCCCACATCTGTACCCTAAAGTTCAGAGTGGGGAGGGAACCCTGACACCTCCTTTGTCTGCTCACTGCCAAAAACAGACCCCCTCCTTTTTGAAAGGAAAAATATTTTCTAGTGTCAAACTCTATCTTCTCGAATAGTGGTGTGCCTTCTAGCTTGACATCCAGCATCAGATGAGGAAGGAGTTAGATTCCCCTAGAACAGCCATAACTGCCAAATAAAATACAATTTCCTAGGCCTACTGCATCTGAGAAATGGAAGGAGAGTATTATATGAGCCACAAGCCTTCCTCTTCCTTCTACAAGCAGATTTACCACTGCCTGGGCAGAAGGATGGTAACAATATATAAAAAGGTTATACAAAATATTTCTGAAATTAGTTGGTTACCAGTCCAGTTCTTAGTGAATACATATCCACAACAGAAAAACCACCACAACCACCACATTTGACACTCCTTGTTGGCGATCTTAGCAGAAAGGCACTGCACTACCATACGTATGTTGGAAAAACTAGGCAGTGGTCCCTAACCTTTCTGTGGGAACAGCATATTCCTATTCCCAGAAGACTGTGGCGGGTGCCAGACAACCCGCCGCCGAAATACCGCCAAGAAGTGGCAGCGGCAAGAAGCGTTGCCGCTGAAATGCCGCCGAGAAACGGCAACGCTTCTTGGCAGCATTTCAGCAGGCGGTGTCCTGCGGGCACACACAACTGCCCCAGCAGGCACCATTGCGCCCGCAGGCACTGCATTGGGGACCCCTGAACTAGAGGATATATTCTAAGAAGAAAAATAAAATGACTGAGGGACTGGGAGGATTGATTCATAAGAAGAGATTAAAGGCCTCATCCAGAATCCATGGACATCAATGGAAGCATCCCCAATAAGGACCACGAAAGAATGAGGACATTCCTTGGTAGCATCTTGTGCTGACTATGTATACAAATGTTAACAAAAAGTGAAGGTAAAGATTAAATGTGTCCATAAATACCAGGTTAAGTGACAGCTTCTCTTATAAATGAGATGCTGTCTAGCATTTTGATTATTAAAAACAAAAGAAAAGAAAACAACTACTTTGTTCACTAGACTAGAATTCCATGCCCATTTTGCCCCTGACTTGCTAGGTAACCTTGGAAAAGTCATTATTTAGTTTCCGTTTGTCCCAGTTTATCCATCTATAACATGGAAGTGTTGTGAAACTTAATTAATGTTTGTAAACTGCTTGGAGAGTCTCCGTTGAAAGGTGAGCACAAAACATTATTATACTTTCAATACCTTAGGAGCACCCATATTTTTTCATAAATGCATTAAAAGTAAATAGGGAATTACAAGAAGAAAATTATTAATCTGCTGTAAGAGTTAGCAAGTTCAAAACGCATATTCTAGTTCATAGAATACCTAGGTACACAGATACAAGAATGCACATCAGAGTTTATGTACTGATTGTTTTACTTTACTAACAAAAATGAGATGAAGAACATTTTCCCTACATTCAGCTTTAAATTTCTGCAGGAGGAGAGCTCCTATTACCTTTTTTCAAGTTATTTTATAGTGATAGATGCATGCAAAAATACAGAAAGAATGAAGTATGGAAGAAAGGTGGTCTTGTAGTCAAGGCACTAGACTGGGCCTCAGAAGATCTGTGTTTAATTCCTTGCTCTGCCAGCACACACACTTCCTGTGTGACCTTGGGCAAATCAACTAATCTCTCCCAGTTCCCCATCTGTAAAATGGAACATAGGAATTGCCACATTGGATCAACCTCATGATTCAGCTGGTCCAGTATCCTGTCTCCAACTGCAGCTGGTACCAGACGTTTCAGAGAAAGGTGAAATTAACCCCACAGTAAGCAGCTGTGAGATAGTTTACCCAATATTTAGTTCCGATTCTAATCCCTAAGAGTTAAAAACTGGTTTAAACCCTGAAGCGTGAGGTTTTGTATCCCTTCCAAAACTGATTTTTTTTCTAGCATTCACAGTTATAAAAACTGGATATTCTTGTAATCCATATAAACTTTCAATATCTCTGAATCTTGCTCACTTCTTGGCCTCAGTGACATCCGGTGACAATGAGTTCCAGGGTCTAAATGTTGAATGGAAAAATATTAAATGGGGATAACAATACTTCTTTTTTCCCTCCTTTGCTCTTCTTGTCTATGTTAATTGCAAACTTTTCAAGGTAGGAAATATCTTTTACCATGTGTATATACAGTGTACAGCACAAAGTCTTGATCAAGGTGATACAAATATATAAAAGTTTTGATACTTCTAATTGTAAGGACAAAGACCCAAGATCCCCCTCAGACTTTGAAGAAAATAACTGTAATGCTCTAGTCTCCGTTACATCAGTGACTCAACAAAATAATTATTAATATACTGGAACGATATGCTACAACTGAACAGGCGAAGCCGAAGAACAGAAAATGCTTGTTTCATATGTAGTCATATTGTTGCAGCACTAACTATTTCAACAAGAAGATTAGTCATCAGAAAATATCAGCCAGGCAGGCAGCAATTCAGAGCCTGCCACATTTTTCTAAAAATGGAAAACAATTAAAATCATAACAATTTTGCTTTACTAGAAATATTGGGGCCTTCCTAAACTTGGCACTACACTAGGGTATAATGTCCCTTTGACCGTTTCTCCTCAAACCTATCAACACTGGTGGTTTTCAACCTGTGGTCCGCAAACCAACTGGGGTCTGCAAAAGGTTGTCATTACATAGAGCAGTGGTTTTCAACCTGTGGTCTGCGGACCCCTGAAGGGCTATGTCTAAGATTTCCAAAGGGGTCTGCACCTTCATTCAAAAATTTTTAGGGGTCTGTAAATGATTTTTTTTTTTAAAAAAAACATTGCTCTACACAGTTAAGTGTACATGTGTAGTCACTAAAGCTGCCAAGTGAGCTCCATGGAAAATGTTACATTAAATGTGAAATATTGCAGTGCCATGCCTGGCCCACCTTTATCACATTTTACTAATGCAGTGATTTAGTGAAATAAAGTTTAAAAACAAATCACTGATGAAAAATAATTTAAATAGCCTTTCATTCCTGCCAAGTTAGAGATAGGTTTGAACTAAACCCCATGATCCAAATATCCTTGAATTATGGTAGAGTGCAGTTATCTATCTAAACTTTGTTCTTGGGCCTGAGTCAAAGATTGACCTGTAAAAAAAGAAGGTAGATGTGCTCTTCCAAGCTCTACTCATTGCAGATGCCGAAAGGAGAGGCTGCACTCAGCAGATTGTGCATATTGTGTCAGGGTCAGGCCAGATGGCTACAAGAGAGTGGTTGAAGGTAGATACATTAGTTCCAGGTTAAGCAGGTCCCTTTTCCCTGGGTAAGGTAACAGGGACTGTTCCAGAACACTCAGGAACTTTCTAGAACTAATTAAGGCAGGCAGGCCAATTAGGACACCTGTAGCCAATTGGGAAGCTGCTAGAATTAATTAAGGATACTCAGGACACCTGGTTTAAAAAGGCTCTCACTCCAGTTAGTGAGGGGTGCGTAAGGAGCTGGGAGTGAGAGGATGTGCTGCTGGAGGACTGAGGAGTACAGGCGTTAACAGACATCAGGAGGAAGGTCCTGTGGTGAGGACAAAGAAGGTGTTGGGAGGAGGCCATGGGGAAGTAGCCCAGGGAGTTGTAGCTGTTGCACAGCTGTTCCAGAAGGCACTCTGCACAGCTGCAGTCCACAGGGCCCTGGGCTGGAACCCAGGATAGAGGGTGGGCCCGGGTTGCCCCCAAATCTCCCAACTCCTGATCCAACACAGAAGGTTCCACTGGAGGGGAAGTTCTCTAGGCTGTTCCCCGACCCACACGGTGGATCAGCAGAGACTGTGGGGATTGTTCTTACTCTTTTTTCCCCATTCTGGCCAGTGATGAGGTTATCTGAGTGAACGGCAGATTTGAGCCATGAAAGTGGCCAAACTGAGGGCTACTGTGAATCTCTGAGGTGAGCAAAATCCACCAATAAGCGCAGGACCCACCAAGTTAGAGGAGGAACTTTATCACAATATGTTCCAAGTTTGATTGTACATGGTCTCTGAGCCTCTTGAGTTTAGCTTCACCTTACTGGGGGATTCAAATACACCCAGAGAATCTGCTAGCCTCCCTGGCTTGGTTTTCTCTCAGGGTACTTCTGCACTGCACAAAGGTTTTAGCCTGAACCTACCATCCATATTAAAAAAAAAACCTGTGACCTAGCTTTAATTTCAGGTTATCTTACCCAGCTGGGTGTGCAGGTTAGACGTCAGTGGCTAAAATCACTCAAGTTCTGACAGTCCTCCAGTATATTTCCCAGACTGGACAATTGACAACTAACTGGGAAAGAATTTTAGAGCACCTCAGCAGAAAGAACTATGGGATATGCCCATAGACACACATTGGCAGACACAGTGGGGACACTCATGTCCAGGCTAAGCTTACCTGGCTGCTCAGACCCAGGGGCCAGTCAGGGGTTATTTAGCTGTGCAATGTAGACATAGCCTGGGTGGAGTATGAATGTCCCCCTACTCTCCCTGGATTTTGGCTCCTTTTTGATTGGGGAAAATAATTAGTAGGGGTATTCTCCCCCTTGTTGCATGGCAAAAAAGGAGCTGCTACTTGCAGTAGTCTGTGCAAATCTTCATAATATCAGTCTTCCTTCCTTCCTCTATTTTTTCTTACATACTCTGATGAGCCATGAAATAATAAACAATGTTGACATTTAAAATATCATTACTGGCATCTGAATTAACACCTCTTTGAGATGAATGGGGCAATACACACTTTGGAGCTAGCTTTACAGGCACTCTGCAAATTCAGGCAGACACTGCTGCTTCACATATACTTGGTTTGTGTTTTCAAGGGTTTTATTGCAATTGTAACAGCTAGACATTTACTTTTCTAAGATGGAAGCTGAGATTCTGAAGAACAAGAAGGCTTCCGGGAGAGGTGCCAGTATGCCATACCACTGTATACCAGTCCAAATCAAGTCCTGTATGCAGTACTTGCAAGAAAGTGTTTGCACACAGTGATATAAATAGATCTTATTTGGAAGCTGCAGCTTCCATTTACTTGAATAGCTGTTAGTTGTGAGTTCCATCCTGGGATTTTAATTAATAACCTCTGCCACTTGCATAATAAAGGTTCCATCACGAAGCGAGGGCGGCTTCTATTGAAAGCTGCATGGAAAAGGCATAGTTACTTAAACAATTGCTATTACTAATTCAGGGCATTTTCTAGATAGTATATAGTAATCTCTTTCTATATATACAGAATACCAAACCATGATAATTTGTGTAAAAAATGGCATGCATTTCTCTTTCTGAAGTTGCATTATTATACTTAATTCTGAGACTCAGCATCAGTTTTTCATATTTGGATTTCATTTGCATGGTTTCAAGGTGTCAAGTATACCATCAAGGCATCTACAATTTATCTTCCTACATGTTCTTCTGAATTGTCTGACGATTCATTATCTTCAAGTGACAAGAATTTCTTCAGCAACTCCCACAACTTTCTAAAAACAAAAAGCACACAATCAATACACTAACTGCATAGAAAGCACAGGGTAAAAGTGTCACAGCAAACATCTGGGACAGAATAGCAACCCCTCCATGAACTCTTCCACTGTCAGCAATATAAAAGGAAAGAAAGGTTACTTACCTGTGCAGTAACTGGAGTTCTTTGAGATGTGTGGTCCTATCTGTATTCCACTTAAGGTGTGCATGTGCTCCATGCGCTGAGATGGAAGATTTTTGCTAGCAGTGTCCGTTGGTCTGTGCTTGCACCCCTCTACTCCTCATGCTTTGAACTGAGCGAATAAGTGGCAGTGTGACCTCTCCAGTTACTTTTCTACTGTGAATGGCTGTAGGATAAGGCTCCACAGGAGAGGAGCAGGAGGCTGGGTAGTGGAATACAAATAGGGACCACACATGTTGAAGAACTCCAATTACTGTAGAGATAAGGAGAGGTCACTTACTTTGTGCAGTAACTGGAGTTCTTCGAGATGTGTGGTCCCTATGGGTGCTCCACTTCAGGACATGCATGCGCCCATGCACTCTTGATCAGAGATTTTTATCAGTGGTGTCTGTGAATCTGCGCCTATGCCCTGTATATCCTTGTGCTGCTCTGCAAGGATTTTCATGGGGAAGTGGTCCTGCTGCCACTCCAGTTCCTTCTCAACCACAAAGTCCAGAGAGAAAGAGATTCTGAGGCAGAAGTGAAAGAAGGTGGGGAGTGGAGCACTCATAGGGACAAAACTTCTTCAAGAACTCCAATTACTGTACAAGATATGTAACCTCTCCTCCTTCTTTGAGTTATTGTCCCTCTGGGTGCTCCATTTGATTCCCATGAAGTACCTCAATACTGAGGAGGCAGATTCCCTACAGACTGTAGAACAGCATCACCGAAAGTTGTGTTGGCTCTGAAAGCAAGTGTGAGAGAGTAGTGCTGGAAAAAGGTGCGCACTGAAGATCAGATAGCAAATAACTGAGATGGATGTTTTTAGTAGGGTCAGAGAGGTTGACTGGATCCTAGCAGAATAAGAAATCATCCTGGGAGGGGGATGCACCCCCAAGACATTGTAACAGGTTAAGATGAACCCCAAAACCCATTTAGACAGTCTTTGAGTGGAGATCAGATCAGATTTGTTCTGTGATCGAGATGAAAAGTCTAGGGCAAGCCCTAAAGTGCTTAGTCCTGTCAAGGTAAAAAGCAAGAGCTCTTCTTACACCTAGTGTACGAAGGGTTGCTGCTTCTCTCACAGAGTGAGTCTTGGGATAACACATGATGTATGTCCTGATGAATGGGGAATTCTGAAGAAATTTTAGGTATGAAATGAAGACAGGGATGTAATGTCACATTGTCACAATAGAATGCCATGCATGGTGGGTCATCCATAAGAGCTCCCAGCTCCCCAACCCTCCTGGCTGAGGTGATGGCTGTGAGGAATGAGGTCCTGAGGGACAGACAAAGGTGGGAACAACTGCCCAGATGCTCAAACAGTGGTTTACTCAGCTTATTAAGAATGAAATTGAGGTTCCATGGTGGAGTAGGTTCTTTGACAGGAGAAAAAAGGTTGAACAGGCCATTAGCAAACCTCATGGTGGTCAGGTGAGCAAAGACTGAAAAACCTTCAATAAGGAGGTGAAAGGCTGTAAAAGCAGCCAGATGAACTTGGATTCAGCTCAGTGACAATCCTGTGGTTTTTAAATTCAGTAGGTAATTGAGAATATGTGATGCACAAGACTCAAGAGGAGGTGCAGACTGATGGCTGCACCAAACTTGAAAATGTTTCCACTTCTGTAGGAAGGTTTTCCTCATAGTGGATTTCCTGCTCTAGAGCAGTACTCTTTATACTTCTGCTGAGCAAGCCAGTTCTATGCCAGTGAACCACCTTTGAGGTAAAGCACTGAGAAGCTGGGCTGGGTGGTGAATCTCAACTGCTGGGTAAGGAGATCCAATGTTAGAGGAAGGTGGAGAGGTGGCTGCAGAGCCATGCAAATCAGCTCTGGGAACCATGACTGTCTTGGCACAACAGCGCTATGAGGCTGGTTACTAATTTCTCCTGTTTCAGCTTGTTCAGAATCTTGCGTAGTGATGGCGTTGGAAATAAGCATATAGCAATATATGATGCCTAGGAGTGGCTAGGATATCTCCCATTGAGTTGCAGCCATGCTCCCCCCAGACAGAAATGCCTGCTCAGGGAATCGACTACTGTGTTCTGCAACCTTGGTAGACAAACCACGAGATCAGGATGCAGTGAGATACGCACCAGTTCCATAGTCTTATGGACTCTGTGCATAGGACTGGGGTCTTGCTCCTCCTCATTGGTTGATATAATATATTGCTGCTCTGTTGTCCACCATTATTCTGATTGGGTGTCTCTTGATATGGGAAGTGATGGCAGTGAAACTGACTACTCTGAGCTCTAATATGTTGATGTAGGGGTTGCCTCCTGGAGGGCCTATTTGCCGTGAAGTCCTGAAAGCGTGCACCCCAGCCTGAGTCCAGTGCTGATGCCGATGCTGTTTCAGGCGGACTGCTCTGCTGAAGGATGTCTACTACAGAAGTTTGTATCATGACATAATGTTTTACAAAACTGTGCATGGAGCCTCATGCTGCAGCCCCCTGCGGATCCCCAGAAGAGGGGCGTCTCAAATTACGCTACAGATGCAGCCTAGCTTCTAGTCAAGTGGGGCCTCAAACCTTGTAGGGGAAGAGTCACTATTAGCTCATAACAAAGCAAAATGTAGCCCAAACGCCATTTGAAAAGTCTTTGTGTGGAGATTATTTCCCCTGTCATACACTCAGCAAAGGAGGCAAAACGTTCAAGAGATTTCCTGAAGGGTTTTGTCCTTTGCAGGTATAATGTCAGGGCTCAACAGTGTAGTTTCCTGCCCTCTCTGGTAACATGTGGCTTTGAATAGAAAATTGGTGAGTGTATGACCTCGTTTTAAAGAAATTCTGAGATTATTTTTGAATGAATTTGGGGTGTAATCTCATGGAAACTTTCTCCTTGTGGAATTCCATATTTAGGTCCACTATAAGGGCCCCCAGCTTACTTACTATTCTGGCTGAGGTGACTGCAACCAGAAAGGCAAACTTTATAGATAGATGAGCAAAGGCACATGATGCTAACGGTTTGAATGGAGAGTTCATTAAACCCAATAGGACAAGATTGAGGTCCCATATTGTGCTAAACATCAGCAGTGGAGGAAAGATTCTGACAAGTCCCTTCAGAAACTAGTAGTAGGATGGGCAAAGACCACATGGCTATCCACTGGAGAGTGAAAGGCACTAACAGCTGCCAAGTGCACCCGCAAGGAACTGAGAGACAATCCCAACATTTTTAGAAGGAGGAGGTAGTCTATAATAGTAGGGATCTCAGCATCCTCTGGGGGTATCCCACAATGCTGGCACCAGGTAGAAAATCTTTTCCATGCTGTGTAAGTATATTTGAATGAATTGAGCAGAGGGTTGAATCTGTTTATGTGAATTTGCAGTTATAGTTTCTTAAGCAGTTGCTTATGTTGAATCTGTTGTTATATAGCGGTTACTATGTTTTTCTTCTCTCTCTGCAGTACAAGATGTAGTCAGCCATCATGGTTCAAACCATGTGTACATGAATGTGTTTCTAAATCAGGGACTCATGCTATATCTGCCACACAGAGCAACTGGCAATGAGGATTTCAAGAACATTCTATGCATCAAAGGAGCAAAACAATGTCTGACATTGCTTGCAGCCCTGCGTGGGGAGAGGAGTCTCCTATAACTGTGACTACTCCGAAGTACTAAACTAACAGCAGTGAGGTCAAATAGAAGGCTGTACTGGAAATATGAAGGCCTTCAACACTGCCATTGAGGACTGGCTCACATATAGAGAGAGGCTGGAGCTGTAGTCTGAAGTAAATGCACTTCCACCAGAAAAACATGTAGCAGCATTATTGTGTGTGATAAGAGGAAAAACGTAACAGTTTAATAGGCAGTCTGATTGCCCCAGAGAAACCAGCAAGCAAAACCTTTAAAGAGATAATGCAAACCGTTCAAGAGCACTTGGCACCCAAGCCCCTGATTATAGCACAAAGATTCAGGTTTCATAAGAGAAATCAACTTGAAAGTGAATCTATTTCTGCCATTGTGACAGAGTTTAAAAGGTTATCACAACATAGTGCTTTTAAGGATGGGCTTAACAAAGCCCTAAGTGGCAGATTTGTGTGCGGACTGCTTAATGAAAGCATACAGAAGAGGCTCTTGAGGAAAATCTTATCTTTAAACATGCAGTAGAAATTGGAGTAAGGCTGAAAACTGCAGCAAGGGATGCAACAGAATTGCATACCGCAGCTAAAACGGAAGTGGGAATGAATAAACTATCTGCAACCCAAGGCAAGATCTGGTCCACTCAGCAGACAGACACGTTATTAGTGCAGAAAAGGGTTTCACACTCCTGATTGCTGATTCAAAGATGCATATTGCAGAAGCTGTAATAAAAAAGATCCTATCCAAGCTGTTTGTCACACTAAGATTAATATGGAGGAGACCAAAGATGCGAATTGAAATGGACTATTAGTGTATAGTCTGTAGACAGAGGAAATAGTGACACAGAGCATGAGAGTGGAGTAGCCAGCCTGGATATATATAGTCTGATTAAAAATGACAAGTCAGCAATCTAGTTGACATCCTGGGTGGTGGGAAAAGTGCTCAAACAGGTGCCGCAGTGTCTGTTATCTCACGTCTGGAATATGGAAACTTTTAAAAATACCAAACTGAAGGGGACATTAATGTTGCTGAAAAAAGAGTGCCAATTGGAGTGATGCAAGTGAGTGTGGAGTACAACAATAAGCACTGTTTATCAGACTTATGTCATTGAGAAGTGGGGACTGGCTCTGTGAGGCCATGAATGGTTATACAATCATTACTCTGGATGGGAAATCTATAAAGATGCTGCAGTCACTTTCAGAAGACCTCATGAAAACAGTTGAACAACAGCTGGAAGGGATACTATGTCAGGCACTGGGA